GTCGTAAAACAAGCCAATTCACTTCGTGAGCTCGGCAACCAGGTCACCGTTTGTTTTTTTGACCTCCGTTTTTTTTTTTTTGGCGGTAAACATACTGGTGGTCGAGTAGATCATGTTGTGCGGGGTCGAGAACCCTCACTCCGCGCAAGGGGGATGATCGCACCACGTTGTGTTAAAATGGTCAAGCACCCTCGAGGCAGTTACACAGTGCTTACAACTGTCTCTGGAAGTGAAAGCACCAGAAAATAAATTAATTCATACGCAGCTGTCATCCGTACGCAAGGAAGTAAGCACAAGATGCCGAACACCCTTAGCAGGATGCAGCGCACCCTTCATGCGACTCGCCGAATATCTCACGGCGCTTCGCGCTTGGTGATGTGAGAGCCTGGTCCGGTGAGAACCCGGCGTGCTCCGTCCCGGCTTTGTAGGGATGCGAGGTCAATGGTCTAACGACTACGGCATGCACGACTATGAGTACACCCCCCCCTCCCCCGGTGTTTGCCATCGGGATTGGGTTTTCGTCGCGTGCCAACGACGTTGTAAAACAAGCCGCCCCCCCCGGTGTTTGCCATCGGGATTGGGTTTTCGTCGCTTGGCAACGACGTTGTAAAACAAGCCAATTCACTTCGTGAACTCGGCAACCAGGTTACCGTTTTTTTTTTTTTCCTCCGTTTATTTTTTTTTGGCAGTAACCATAATGATGGTTGAGTAGATCATGTTGTGCGGGGTGAACCCTCACTCCGCGCAAGGGGGATGATCGCACCACGTTGTGTTAAAATGGTCAAGCACCCTCGAGGCAGTTACACAGTGCTTACAACTGTCTCTGGAAGTGAAAGCACCAGAAAATAAATTAATTCATACGCAGCTGTCATCCGTACGCAAGGAAGTAAGCACAAGATGCCGAAAACCCTTAGCAGGATGCAGCGCACCCTTCATGCGACTCGCCGAATATCTCACGGCACTTCGCGCTTGGTGATGTGAGAGTCTGGTCCGGTGAGAACCCGGCGTGCTCCGTCCCGGCTTTGTAGGGATGCGAGGTCAATGGTCTAACGACTACGGCATGCACGACTATGAGTACACCCCCCCCCTCCCCCCCATTTCACTCTTTACTTGAACAGGGGTAGCCGTCTCGTGAGCCCAGTGCTGGGCATGTGGACGGCGATGATCACGGTCCTGGTCGGGGCACTGCTGTGCTTCCACGTGTACCTGCTGGCAAAGGGCCAGACGACGAACGAGTACCTTCGGGGGGAGAAGCGTAGGGGTAACGTCCCGCACCGGTCGTTCGGGCCCAACTGCCGGGAGCTGTGGTGTGGGACGCAGCCGGCGAGGTCAGTGGTGTGTTTTCCGTTTCGGCTGGTGCTTGGTAATCGTTTTTTTTTTTTTGCGATTTAGATGCACTTGCTTTTCTTCACTCTATTTTCAGTATGAGAACCCAAATCGACATGGAAAATACTAGTAGAAGTACAACGCATTTGCCTACTGAGCCCAAGCCGGACTTCCTTCAGTCATGCCGCGGTGATTTTGTTGACGTCATGGTGACGGCTGCAAGCGTACGTATGTAGCGCAGCAGTATTTACGGGTGAGTGTTCAGTAGGGGGTCTGGAGCACCAACCCGTGTCGTCCGGCTTGTTTTACTCCTTCGAGTTCCCCTGCGTGTTGCTCCTGCAAGCCGCTGCCACGCGTGCGCAAGATCTGTAGGGTGGCCTTGAGCTTGCGGCAACTCTGCGAAGGCCTCAGCCCGCCGTGTGTTTTTTGCGGCGAATGCCTTCATTACTGCTATCGTTTTGGAGACGCGGGGCGCACTCCTCTCCCCTCTGCTCTGCTGCTTTTGGACTCCGCCACGTTTTGACTTCCGAAAGTAGCCCTGTTTGTTTTCCTCTCTCTCCTGTCGGTCTGTCTGTCTCACTCTCTCATTGTCCCTGTCTCTGTCCGTCTGCCTGTCTGTACGTCTGTCCCCCCCCCCTCTCACTCTGCCTGCCTGTCCTTCTGTCCGTCTGTCTGTCTGTCTGTCTGTCTGTCTGTCTGTCTGTTTCTATCTCCCTGTGTACGTCACGACTACCTCAATACCTGCGCGATACCCACACCGCGTGCTTGATGGACACGCACCCACCTGGACCACGCAGCATGTTGGCGGACATGAGCGAGTTCTCTACCGGCCACACCGTCCACGGGGGCGTCAGTTACACTGCAAACGCCTACACGGAGCTGCAAGAAGTTATCCGGCCGCAAGGGGGGGACCTCGTGTGATGTCGCAGCGAGAGCTCGCTGGTGGAAGACAGACGACACCCTTTGCCGTCAACATTATTGTGTATGTCTCCCAAGCATCTCGAGTCCGCAGAAGACGACGATCTTGTGTACTTTATTGTGTCGCTGTTTGTATCAACGTGTTCATGGACACAGCAGTTGTCCTTTTGAAGGAAAGGGAGGGGAAGCGTGTACTCATAGTCGTGCATGCCGTAGTCGTTGGACCATTGACCTCGCATCTCTANCCCCCCCGATTCCTACTCGCTTGTTTGGGGTTTTAGAGTGTAAATCGCTCGTCGCGCAGTGCGCTGCGAACGTATTCATGTACAGCCGTGATATTGGTTTAGCGGTTCCTTCCCTGTTTAGCGGTTCCTTCCCTGTTTAGCGGGATGCCCTGAATACCGTATGCGACACAAGATAACACACCCCGTAGACCGATTTAAAGCTCGATTACGCCACGACGAAGAGGATGCATAAACGAAACGGAATGCTTTCGGAAAGCTCTCGACGAGACAGCTTGAACGCCGCCGTCTTCGGCGCTGTGACTCTTTCTGCTATTGAGAAATCGAGCTTTGAAAATCGGTCCAGGGGGTGTGTTATCTTGTGTCGCATGCGGCAGGTAGCGGTTCCAAAATCTCGTGGCAGGACTGCGCCTCGGTAGTCGAACTATAGTACTAGTCATGAATTATCTGCCAATCCAGTTTAGCGGCGATGCCCTCAACGCCGGTATTAGCATGTTGCGACGCTGTGGACCGCCAAACCGGGACGATCACGGCTGGCTGTAGTTCCAGATGGCCGAAGCGGAAGTCGAGGCTTCATGAGTCGAGGGGGCGGTGGTTTGTGAACGATAAGAAGATGCGGGGCGTGTTTTTATGCGAAGTATGTACGTTTCCGCTTCGATTCCTGTGTTGCACGTTCCTTTCGATAGTGGTGACGCCACGAACAACGCTTGTTTGTACATCTTTTGGGCCTGCAGCGGACTCTTTTTTTTTTATGTCGTGTAGTGCGGGAGTTGCGTGTTCGCAGTGTCTTTGAGAGAGCCTTGCTTAGCGAGGCGGAATGAGCTGGGCGATCATGACAGCAGTAGAAATTAAAGGTTTGTTTCTGCTGTATTATGGCATCGGAGAACCAAGGGGGTTACGTCAGGGGGGGGATGGCAGGGGGGGGGTCCCACCAGGAAATCCATTGACGGGGGGCCTTTTTACTCGTTGCGTTGCGATACCCTTGGTGTTTCGCGCGCGCGAGAGTCATTCTAGGGGGCCATTATGAGGCAGCGGTACTATCGTCGAGCGCGACTTGGGCTATGGGTGGTCTATTACCGCGCACGATGGGGGGGTATCTGGAGGGCGTGCGCGTACTTTCTGCGCTGCTGCTCCACCGGGGACAGAAGCGCCATCAACGAGCACTGTAGTAGATCACGCCCACAGACGACCGTGTGTGTAAGGTTTTGAGATCATTGTTGCTTTGGTCGAATCTGGTTGTGTGGTAGCCACGGGGGGGTTTGGGGGAGGGAGACGAGGGGCACGGGCGGCGTGGCGGCCATGGATAGAAAACCAGCAACAACAGGGCATGCGGGAGGGGGGGGAATAGTCGTTTCGCGTACAGAATTCTCTAATGGGCGTAGGTACGGGGAGCGATGGGGGGGAATGCCAAAGTGCTTGCAGATGTTTTTTATGGGTGTACGGGGAGTATGCATTAATTGCTTAGCACTCTGCTGCTGCTGTGCGTTTGCTGCCAAGTGTGTTTCGCATACATATAAACATACCTCTTGTTGTGGCAGGTTATCTTCGAGACCAATGAGTAACATTGAGCATTAAATAGTTGAGGAGATAAAATGAACGACCCAATCATCACGAACGCAGGTATTATACTTGTAGTGCACAAAACTAAAGGTCTTTTTCTTCGCGCCCCCTAACCCCTTGAGATTGCTGTTAGCGTTGTTCTCTATTCTTGATGAGGGCTGCCAACTATTTATTGCACTGCAGGCCCCGGACGGCCGTCCATTCGCTCGATCGAACGACTGCCATTATTTTTTTGCCTTCTTTTGCGCGACCTCTCTTTCGTGTTTTTTCAAGACTTGCGTGTTGAACTGACTGATCAAAAGGATGGTATGCGGACAACGCACCTATTCCTCACCATACTGCTGCCTGCCTACACTATCCAGATCAAAAACTCTAGACTGCGCTAACATCAATGTTCGAATTTTCGCCGTCAAGCCAAAATCTGCCCCGAGAGATCTCTGAGGTAAACACATCATCATTTGTTGTGCTACTTCTCTTGTTTTCAGGTGGTTTTCAACATGTTACCGTGTTGCCGTCTTGCCGCACACATGCACACCCAGCAGATGGGCTCATCTTTTGCAGTTGAGAGATGAGCCGGGCCTAGAGGACACTTTATCGCTGCGATGTATGAGGTGGATATGCATATGACGATATTTTTCAAGGTCATCGCTTTGGAGAAAATATGTAGCAATGGTATACAATGGACAAAAAAGGTTTTTTGTCGTACAGTCGTCCCCGCTTTAAAGACGCATGGCGTTTTTTTTTTTCAAAGCGTCTTTAACGCGGGGAATCGTCTTTAAGATTCCGGGGACGATAACGCACCACCCCCGGGGCCGATGGAGGCATAACATACATCAAAAGACGCGCCGTTGCAACACGTAACTTATAACGAAACGAGGATCCATAAATCTGACCGCTCACAACGTAGCCGTGGTTGAAAGTGGAATGCACTATATATATATATATTTATATATTATAAACCATGTTTTAAGTTACCGCGCCACCGCCCGCAATAATATGCTCCCGACATGTGGGTTGTTGCGGGATATAGTTTTGTTATGACTGCAGTGCACTCTCTCGGTTGTGTGGCGACTGCTGCCTGCTGTGTTGTTTTTATTTTCTTCTCGTTTTCCTGATGTTGAAAACCTCACCGACACATCCTTCACCACAGCGGTTCCAACTTTGACACGATACTTCAGTATATCCTAAGCGATAGAGACACAAACACCCTACACACGAAACTCAGATGGACATCAACGCTAAATTATCGGTGAAGATGAAGCAATAAAAAAAAAGAGCCCATCGCTGTATGCCCTCCGAAAAAAAAAACTATCGCCCCCACATATCGCCAAGAGTGGCCTGCACCTCACCCCCCTGCTTCGCTCTTCGGTTGACTTGAGTTTCGTGAGTGAACGAATGCACAGTCCTCGAAAGAAGGTACAGCGTTTCGCTGTACTCGCCGTCCTTCCCTTTCGCATTCAAAAAGGAGCGGCACTCCTCGAGGCGAAAGCGGACGTCGGCCTCTGTAAGCGACGTTGTCACGCACGACTCTGACCTACCGTCGTCGTCTTCCTCTTCGCTGGGTACATCGTCATCGAGGGTTACGCCGGCCAGTTGCTCGTCTACAGCCTGCAGTTCCATTGCTATTTCTTCCTCCAACACCTCTGGGTCGTCCTCTACACTAAGCCACGTCTTTACTGCCTGACGCACTTCAGCGTCCGTGAGGCCTGAGG